GATGGCGGCGACAGCGATGTCGCGAACTACATGGCCAGGGAGGATGCCGACAAGGAGCCCCTGTCATACGAGGCCGAGAAGGAGAGAGATGAGAACATGGCGGGCTTGAGCCACAACGCCATCGACCGCAGAGACGAAAAGGCGATGAGGGTACGCCGCGTGGACGACTACAACAAGACCCTCGAGGATTACGTTAACCGCCTTGAGCTACCTGAGGAAGCCCCGAGGGAGTGGATGCCATCCGACTCGGCGCCAACTGCCCATTGCGTCAAGGCGCGCATCGCGCTCCTCATGGCCGCGACCCAGAACCTCGAGCTGGAAGTTCGTCGTTTGGACCAGGTACTCACAGGATACATGATGCTGAAGGTGGTTCGCTGTGCCGTCGGCAGAGGATCATCCAGCAGCAGGAGGCGGGAAAGGAGTCTCGGGCTGCAGACCAAGACGGCGTTGATCATGCAGCGCGGCGAGGCGGAGAACGGACTCGCATGCGCTCGACTTCAACTCGGGGGGCTTGAGCACAAGGTGCTCGACCCAGAGACTGCGTATCCTGCTGACTACGCTGAGGGGCTGCCGACCTTCCTCTATAAGTTCGCGGCGCGTTCGGAGATGCAACGCATCCAGTGTTCCAGAAAGAACCAGCTCGCGCAGTCCTCTTTCAATTACCATGCCTGGGCTTCTTGGATCCGCTACTTCAAGAAGCAGCTGCGGAATCGACTCTACAGGATCAAGCGCGCCTTGAACGACAAGGGAAGCAATTTCAGCATGATGGCGGACTTGTGGGAAGCTGTGGACACACCGACGGGGAGTCCGAGAACCTTCCAAGAAGAACCTAGGCCCTGCGCGGATTCAACCCATGACCGAGGAGGCTATCCAAGCAAGAAGGGATAAGCACCGGAGGCGCTAGCAAAACAGGAGGACCAAGCGCCAGATCGAGCAGTCCGAGGAGGTCGGGGACGAGGACCCGAACGAGGGCGTCGACGAACAGGACTTATATATCGCGCAGGACGAAGAGCCCCGCTGTGGACAACCTGGCGCAGCATCAGGCGACCGCATCCACGGCGGCGACGCGTTATGGCAGTGCGAGACGCCCTACGAAGGCTGCGCGGAGAGGATGCACATTTCCACTGCTCTGGCCACAGCTAAAGAGGAAGAACAAGGAGAGCCTGAGCCGACTCCAGAGATACCGACGCTCCAACGGTGAGGGGAACCAGGAGACCTGCGACAGGAGTACAGCACCCTCGCGTCAACGTCTACCTCGCTGACCACACGGCCCAAGAGAGAGCCAAGGATGCCACCGAGGAGAACAAGCCACTCCTCCCATGGCCGAAGTGCGTCGGGACCGTCGGCGTCTACGTCCTGTTCCCCGGCGATAACAACAACGTCGACGTCCTAATCCACTGGCAAAAATCCAAGGTGAGGCACTCGAATGCGGTCACCACTCCAAGAGGACAAGTCCATCGGACCGATTTGAATGCTGCCCGCGAGCGGCGCTTGGACTTCGATTGCGCTGCCAGGCACGCGGCAAGTCGGGAGCTTGAGCAGGAAGCTGGACTGCGCACCCTTCTGAACGACCAGGTGGATATTCCCAGCGACAAGACAACGATGCCACCTCGCAAGAGCTACGGGTTCTTCTACTTGGGACCACCCGAGTTGAAAGGGGCCGCATAATCGTTCTCGTAATGAGGTGATATATCAGGGTTCTCAGAACCCGTGCGTACCTGCCGGAGGTCATTGCCATGCTTGGGTCGGCGTGGGCGACCTCATCGCGCTACCAGACGGTCTACCAGCACGCGAGCAGCCACTGCGCTACATCGCGACTGCGGAGAAGGAGAGGAGCCTGCAGGTGAAGCAAGGCATGGCGAGGCAGGCGGAGGCGATGAAGGACTAGCCATCCGAACTCGAAAGGAACGGACGCTGGCCTACCGATGATGTGATCGACTACTTGGCAGTGAAGAGCCGCGCTCAGCCGATCGCTCAGGATCCGAGCCTCAACGCGACCTTCAACGACCCTGCGTCGGAGATGATGGCCGTGCACCATCACTGCCCGAGACAGCCTAGTTTTCGTGTTCGGATGAAGCTGTTGACGCAAATTCCATTCGACATCGCCCTGGGTCTGATCGAGTCGTGCAACGCGTATGAGTGCGAGATTGTGCAGGACTACCTGAAGGCAGGAGACCAGAGCGGTGACTACGAGGCCCTCTATGCGCACTTCAAGGTGTGCGTGGACGCCGTGCTCCAGGACCCCTTCGACCCTAGCCGGGTGTCAGATCTCGTCGCTGCGCCATTAAGTGATCTGCCTCGCTGGGTACCTGCAGCGCCGGCCATCGACCCCATCATGAACTGCAGCGAACTCCAGGATATCGCTGGGGAAACTTTGATGTCCTCAGGAGGAAAAGCAGCGGGGGGGGGCTGGTGAATGGAGGCGAGAAGGCCAGCGAGGTCATCCAGGACCAGATCAAGATCCTCGGCGAGGCCGGCGGGAAAGAAGAGAGGCGCGCAAGGTGGAGAGCCTCGGCGAGTTAACGGCGCAGTGGGGATTCTCCCAGGCTTCGTCGAGAATCCCCCACCAATGGGCGGAACCGTCTCCGAGGCCATGAAAGCGGCAGCGACTGTTGATCACTGCCCGCTGCTACAGGGCTTGACGGACCTCCAGCAGAGAAGGGTGAGATACTTCTTGGGCTGGAAGACAAGTTCATCAGTGGCCACTGGAGAAAGGCCTACACATTGTCCAGGAGGAACCGGAGGGTCTTCAACAATATGATGAGCGACCACTGGAAGGCGGGCCACAAGGCCGACGTGACGAGAGACCACCTGCTCGACACCCTCCTTCATTATGATTGTTTTGGTTTCGCTGGTTCTGGAGGCTCAATATGGGACAAAGACGCCCGCTTTACTCGTGAGCATTTCCCAGGACTCATCGACGGCCCTCATGTCAAGGAGCCAATTGCGCATCCAACCGGGCAGCGGTGGATGGCGGATTCGGCGCCGACATGCGCGGGGGAGACGCAGCGTGACGAGGGGCTCGACAAGAAGGAGGTCCAGATCGAGACTGTCTACCACGGTGCCAAATGGTAGCACTGGCATCTACTCGGAGCAAGAAGGGCCTGCTCGAGTCGAAGCCAGGACCTTCGGGCTGTGAAAACTTCTCAGGCATTTTCTGCGAAGAAGGACAACTCGCCATACCTTCTGCGCCAACTACGTGGTGCATGCGTCGCCTGACGTCAGCCCTGAGATGAGCCTGTAGCTCTGCACCTTCGAGCTGCAAGTAGATCACAACCGTCGCGCAGGCTACCTCAGCGCGCATATCTACAGGCAGCGGTGCCAGACCGGAGGCAGCGTCTACGTCAACACGCCATGATTCACACTGCGACGATGAGGGAGATTTGGGACAAGCTACAGGCGAAGGAGCAAGTCTTTGGATGGCACAGGGTCTGGAATCGCACTGTCAGGATGTACCTCGCGGCGAAGGCCATCCCGACAGCGTTTCCGAATGTCCGCGCGCGCGGGCACGAGGAGATCGACGACTCCGACCTCTTGATTCTCGAAGGCAGGCTGGTTCCCATGGACGAGAGATGGGCCCCTCAGTGGACAAGGGAGCTCAGCGCGGCGGATCTTTTCCTGGAGCGCACTGGCCATCAGCACGACCAACGCGGAATCGAGCCAAAGAGTTTCATGGCTCAGCTTGGGCAGGCTATGGGCGCAGCGATGTCGGAAAACGTCATCATGAAACCTGGGTCGGACAATTCGTTCAGGGAGCTCTCGTACATATTCTCTCAAGTCCTATGTGTTCGTTGAGCTGTGCCAGCTGCGCGTCGCTGAGGCTCTGGTAGTACGTGGAATGGCTACGGTATCTATTGCGAGAGGAACTTCATCTTCTGAGGCGAGGCGGCGTTTCGGCTGCAAGAAAGGTAAGAGCTGTGGTTGTCAGGCCCCTGTGAGCCTCTCCTCCCGCGCCTCTCTCTGTATTCCCCTGTGCGCAGCCATATCGGCTCACAAGGGCCCTTGAACTATCATGGCGCGCCGGTGACGGACGCGCCCACGCCTCCGTAAAATAATGGAGAACGTGCTCTCTTCATCAGCACGGCCCCCCGATTTGTACCTCGTGTCCTTCTGTATCCATACAGTCACTCCCGCACAATCCACGCCCTCCCTTCCCCTCGCTCCCGCGGACAGGGCCCGGTGACACTGCAGGAAAGGCCCGATGTGGAACGCGCGAACGATCCGCACTCGACGGCCGGTTGGGGCGCCCCCAGACCGCCCTGGGCATACCGCGGGGTCTCGTTGAGGGCCGCAAGCAGGGATAACCGCAATCAGGGTGATGTATCGGCGTGTGGGGTTCGAAAACCGCAGTCCAGCGCTTCTGCCTGCAGACTGCCCGCCGTTACCAGGCGCCCTGGCATTGCGCCGAACGTAGCAAGTGGCAAGTTGATCATCGGATGTATGCATCCCCCTTCTCCTCCCCTCCTCTCTCTCTCTATGTATATCGCTCTCTCTCCCCCTCCCTCGCTCTATATGTGTTCCCTCTCTCCCTCTGTTTCTCTTTTTCCTGTCTTGATGTATGTATTTATCTCTTTCTCTTTTTTCTCTGTCGCTAACTCTCTCCCTCTCTCTCTCTTTCTCTTTCTATTTATACAACTCTCCCAGAGGTTTTTCTGTTATGCTGTTTTTTGTTCTCCCTCTCTCTTTCGGTCGCTCTCAAGACTAAGAGCACCCTGGGTCTTTCTTCCTCCTTCCCCTTTGTACGCGCGCCCCCATTTCAGTGGATCCTCAGCAGGTCCTCTTGCAGTCTGGTAGGTGACCAAAAGACCCTTACCTGTTGTCGTTGCGCAGGGCCTCCAGCGCATCGTGTAGGAAGGCTGGCTCGATTTCAAATCAAGGAGCTGGCACACTCTGTAGGAGGCTGGTTTAGCGTTTGATTCAAAGTTAAGGCGAACTTCAGCCAAGCTTTCTGAGGTGAGTCACGCATCAAATGATCCGCTGTCTGCCGCACTACGTGCTAGGTCAGCAGGGAGCACCCGGACGTGAAGGGGCCCGGCGCGGACCGGTCGCATTTCGACCAGGCCCCGGGGATGGGGGCAGGGGCTGTCTTTGTGGATCTCATGCGCACGCCTCTTCGGGGACGCTTGCACTGGATGCAATTCCTGGGAGGTGAAGTTCTGAATCGGCGCTGGTATCTCTCTGCTGGAAAAATGGCCCCAGCTTAATCGGGCTTAATCCCGCTGCATTATTATTTTGCTGAATCCCGCTTAATCGGGCTTGATCACCGGCTTAATCCGACCTGATCCGGCTCAGCGACCCGCTAATCGGGCCTAAAAGCATACATTCGTTCTGACGAAGACCTCCGAGAAGTTGCCTCCTAGCCTCCTCCATCCTCCCTTCGCCGCCCTTGATGCTCCTCCCTCTTCAGCCATCTCTCATCCCGCCCTCCCTCGCCCCGTCCTCCGTCCGCCTCCTTCCCCCCTCTCCCCATCCCTGGTGTGCAGCAGCTGTCGCGGACAAGCCAGGACGAGCCCGTCTAGGCACAAACCGATGATCGGAGTACAGAGTTTGATTCTTCAGTGTACAGTTGACTTTTCGAGTTCTTTCCATTTTTATGATGTTGTTTTTTGGGGAGGGCCGTCGGGACGGAAATATTCAAACGGGCGGCGAAGGCATGCGTACCTCTCCAGCACCTTTTTGGGCCCGCCGTTGGAGTTTCGGGGGCTGCACAGGGCCTCTTCAGGACCCATTCTTCTGCAATCCTCGATCCCCTCCCCCGCTCATTGCCCTCCCCCCTCTATCTCGAGGAACATAATATGACATAAACAAAAATATCTCGGAGGTCCGGGCTGATTTCTTTGATCGGCGCTGGACCCCCATCCCTGGCGAGCGAAGCGCGTCAGGGGTGGCGCCAGAGGCTCCGCTAGAGAGGTCCAGCGCAGATCCAAGACGTTTTGCTTGTTCCCCACATGTTTCGTGGGGTTATGTTTTTCCCCACCCGCGTCGCACCCGCGTTCTTCTTCACCTCCTCCTCCCCTTTTCCTCGTCCTTCCTCCCCTCACCCACGTGTAACACACGCACGGCGCGTACATGAGAAACGCGTCTACATACAGCCGCACGCATGCACAGGGGGGTGCGGTGGGGGTGGGGTCGCTATCCGTCGTGCGCTTGCAAAGCGTGGCAGGCGTGCAGTTTATCGATTCCACAGGGGGTGTGCAGGGGGGTGGGGTCGCTATCCGTCGTACGCTCGCAAAGCGTGGCATGCGTGGCATTTTCTCGATGCCACAGGGAGGTGCGCTGGGGGTGGGGTCGCTATCCGTCGTGCGCTCGCAAAGCGTGGCAGGCGCGCAGTTTATCGACACCACAGAGGGGTGCGCACGGGGGTGGGGTCGCTATCCGTCGTACGCTTGCAAAGCGCGGCAGGCGTGGCAATTTCTCGGCAGCACAGGGGGGCGGCCTTCGATGTCGGCGAAGCAACGGCCACGAGCAACATGCTCGCAAGTTCCACGTTAGCTACCATCACGCAAGACACGTGATAAGTATGTGGGGTTCCTCGGTAGCGTAATTCCCCGACCCAGCGGCCATGAGACATGCGGTTGTGGCTTCTCGGAGCGTCCTTTGGGGCAGTGCCGTGGCCGTCGGGAGCGCCCGGTGCCGCGCCTGGGCTGCCTCCGGCAACCCTTGCGGGCAGAGGAGCACGCACACACGAGAAAGGTATCCGAGCGACAGCAAGGGGCCGCGTTTGCCGTCCGGGGAGCGTCGCAGTCCTGTGGCACGTCTTGACCAAGAGACCAGGCCCCCGACGCCATCATTTTGTTCGCAATGAGGCCCCCCAGAGGTCTCGACGCCTTCCTGCGGGCCATCTTCCCCTCCCGAGTCCTGTCGTGATGGGCCAGGTGCCCCGCGACGATCAGACGACGGCCGCCCGAGATGTCGAAGCGAATCGTACAGGCGGCGGCGCGCAGCAAAGGCTGCATACCTGTCTGCCCGGTCAGTCTCAGCGCAGTCGGCCGTCAGGCCGCGGGGCGGCGGATTCGGGCCAGCTGGAGTGGGATCTATCTCAGGGGAGTAAGGGGTCAGGATAACGAAACGTTCCAACATCTCCCATATTTCCCAGATATCCGAATGTGTTCCACACGGACTGCAGGAACGAGGGCCGCCAGATAACTCTGAACATCCGGGAACGTATTCTGAGCCAATCCTATCATGCATTTCTCTCGTCCTACTGTCGACTCTCTTGCGAAGTGTGCCCAGAGGTAACGACCGATTACAAGAAGACCATGGACCTCGGCAGCCCGCCCCAACGCTCCCCTGCTTCGCCTCCCCGCGCCACGCCTCTGCAATGGAGCGCAAGGGGGGTGGGGCGCAGGAGGAGGCGGAGGAGGAGTGGCAGGATGGTGCTGCCCCCCCCCCCCCCCATAGTTTCGATCGGGAAAACTGGAGGAGCCGCAGGAGCCGTGCGAGGCCCGAGGAGGCCACGAGATCTGACAGCAGCAGCAGCAGCCCGAATAATGGCACATCGAGACCCCATGGTGTCAACCCGAGGAACAACATGTTGCATAAAATCTGCATTTCCGGAGGTCGGGCGGATTTCTCGGATCCGCACTGGGGCCCCCAGGCCTCGTCTCCGGCGCCGCCCCCTGCGCGCTCCGCGCGCTTGGGAGGGGTGTCCAGCGCCGATGCAAGAAATCGGCACAGATCTCCGATAGGTCAGGCTGAAGTGAATACATGCTCGCTCCTCGGTTCCACATGAAGGGGACTTCGAGGTGCCAGCAACTTCGAGCTGCTCCTCTATCTGAGCTCGTGGCCTCCTCCGGCCTCTGGCGGCTTCTGCGCGCCCGCCCGGCGAGCACCTGCGGCCGCACACGGAGCAGCGTGGCCAGCTCGAGTGCTCTTGTCGCCTCGGAGCTCGGGGTCCCCTCGCGGCCCCGTGGCCGAGCTGGCAGGGGGCTGCAGTTCCCTGGCCGGTGGCGTTGGCGGTAGCAGCATCCCTAGGCCTCCCAGATGGGGTCCGAGCAGATGGGGTCGGATGAGATGGGATCGGAGGATCGTGCCGCATCGGTGATGCGGCTCGATGTGGAGCCCGACTTTCTCCGCGCCAGCGTCGCTGATACATCGCCGATGTCGCCGATGCATCGCCGACACATCAGACACATCAGTGATGCATCGAAGATGCGGCGCGATCCTCTGGCCCCGTCTACTCGGACCCCATCTAGCAGGCCTTTAAGCGCAGGGAGTGCAGCCTGGCAGGCGGCACCAGGACAGGACAGAGAGGTCCGTGTTTCGGGAGGGACGCTGGGGAGGTATTTTTCGCTTTTCCGCGTTGATGTCCAGGCATGAGGGCGCGATGAGCAGCGCAAAAAAGTTGGCGCAAGTCGGCTTCTGACGACACATCTGCGGAGCCATTCGCATTATGTCTGCTCACCTTGGGGATAACTTCCCAGTGGGGCCTCCAGATGCCCAGGACTCCCACCAGTCTATTTGTGTTCGGGCGGCGCATTCTCTGGAGTGGTGCTTCCCTGGGCTCCTTCTCCTGGTCCCTCCAGTCCCTGGCGAGAGGGGCATGGATATCATGGCCGGGGCCATGCGATCTTCTACAGTTCATGGCGCCCTTTTCTTCTTTCAACACGTTCCCTGCCCCCCCCGCCCGGGGGCGGGCCATTCTTGACTGCAGCGGCATACTCCGTTTACATTATGCCCGTGGTGTCGTTCTTATTGCAGCTCGACTCACTCCTGGACACTTGGGGGGAGACCGAGGCAGAAGCGATGCGCCGGCTGGAACCAGGCCCTGGGTCATGGTGTTCACTGGACGACCTCCATGCTCTGCGCGCCGCTGGCTTTCCTAAAGAATTCCCCGACGCAGAAAGAGTGGTATTTGCGAGCCGTTTACGGGTTGTGCACCAGGAAGCTTTGCCGCGGGGCTTGGCAGTGGCCCAGCGGGCGCGATGCTTGCGCCGATGGTTGGCAGACACAGATCAGAATCATGTCGTTCGCAGCGGCACGTGGAACCACTGGTTTCAGAGGTCGTTTGTGCTACAGCTCGAGGGCGCCGTGGACTTTTTCGACAGAGACAGCGTGACGCCTGCTGATGTTGAGAGGCAGTTGGTTTCTGTCGAGGCGCGGCCACTCCGGCACTGCACGGCGCTGCGAGTCCTTCGAGGGTTTCAATGTGTTGCTTACGCGGCCGCTCATTCGGTGAGCGAAGCGTGGATCGAAGTTCGGGTGCGCCACAAGCTGGGCCGGTGGGCTGTCCCGCAATTCCCGCGGATACGTGCCAAGCGAGACATCCACGTACTGCGATGGCTCGGTCAACTATTGCCGCCCCGGGCGTGTGGTTCGCAATGTGGCGCACCCTGTGCAACGGATGGGTGACGCACTGGCGATGGCCAGACCGCCCCGGTAGCATGAATCGATGCGTCTTCTGCGAGCCAGGGGCGGCGGATTCGATTGAGCATTACGCGACGTGTCCCTGCGGGTGGAGTTTCGCACGATCGCGGCTGGGTCTGGCTCGGCCCGCGGCGGCAGCCGATTGTCTATCGTGTTTCCTCATTTCGGATGTGCCGCCGCGCACCGCCGAGATCGCGGACGAACTCCTCGTGCGAAAGGCTATGCGCACAGCCGCGGCTTACAGGGTGCATTGCCTCGCGCGTCATGGGCGCGTGCCTCCGGGAGAGGCGGCCCGTGAAGCGTTGCAGCACTCGGTGCGCGAATTGGTGCGTGGCCATGCCAGGGCCGTTCGTGCACTGGGAAATCACTGTTGAGGTGTGTCCGAAGACACATGGCTGGAGGCCAAGGTGCTGCCGGCAGTTGCGTCACATATCCCTTTTTCTTCTCCTCGTCCTCCTTCCCCGCCCTCCCCCACTGGCTGGCGAGTGGTTTTGCGTAATGGCCAGACGGAGGAGCGGCCCCGCGGTTCCGCGGGCGACGCCCCGCTGCCAGGCGCCTCGAGTGGACGATCTCTCGCCTCCCCTCCTTCCTCGTCCTCGTCCTCCTGATGATGCTGCTGCTCCTCCTCCCCCTGGGGACTCCCCCTCCCCCTCCCCCTCCTCCTCCTCTTCCTCCTCCTCCTCCTCCTCCTAGCCATCTCCAGGTTTCGAGCTGATCTGCGAACCTTTGGCCCAGCGCATTTGAAAGTGGCGCAGCTGGACTGGGCCACCCCAGTGTTTCATGAATCGAGGCGGCAATTGCCGTCGTGGCAGGCGGCACAATGTCAAGCCACGTGGCGCTGTCGCAACGCGTGCTGCTCACTCGATAACTTCTACTTCAGGTCCACCTGTCGGGACTGTGGTTCGAAGGCACCGCAGCACGTTTTCAACCAGCAGCGTGCAAAGCAGAATGCCAAAGTGTCGCCGACCCCCAACCGCTGGTTCAGTGGACCACCGCGGCTTGTGCAGGATGGGGGGAAAAGGTGGCAGCGGAGGCACAGGGGGCAAGGCAGCTGCGGCGGCAGCCTTGTCTAATGACGATCTCATCAAGCTGCTCAAAGAAAACGGCCCCAAGGAACGTTCTGAGCTGGAGACGCAGCTGCAGGACATGTTGAAGGACAAGGACAAGGAAAATGATGAGCCGCCTCCGCCAGCAGACCTCAATGCCAAAGGCTTGCAGGATCTTCTCCAGAGGCGCGCCCACAAAAATAAGCATATCGAGAAGTCCGAGGAGAGGGTCAAGGAGGCGCGAGAGGCGCTGCATGAGGCGCAGCGGCACTTCGATGCGGAGCTCGCGCAGTCCAAGGCCCATCAGGACACCCTCGGCCAAATTGAGTTCTACATCAAGGAAGCCCAGTCCAAGTCGGTCCTCCCAGAACCGCCCACTGGACCCGAAAAAATCGATCCAGCCCACGAGCTCGAGATGCTCGAGGTCATGGACAAGGCGGTGCGGAAGTGCGCGGTGCGCCTTGGGCTGGATGCCGCAGGGCTACTCCAGGCGGCCTCTGTCAAGAAGGAGGAGCTCCATAAGCAGCTGCCGAAGCCGCCCGCTGCCCGCGCTGCTTTCCCGCCCGGTGGTCCAGGCTCTGCTGCGGCTGCAACTCATCCAGGCGGTGCTGCTGCCAGTGGAGGGCCAATGGACTTCGACCACGAGGACAGCGAGCTCCGTGACATGGCAAGCGACAGAAGCGGAGGTAGCAACTTGCAGTCAGACCTGCTCATATGGACGCTCAACACAGGGGCCTGGGCCTCGGCTCAGACCATGCTGGAGTGGGCCAAACATGATATCCGAGGAAAAGGACAACACCGTATTCCTGACATCTTGTTACTTCAATAACATCGGGTCAAGGGTGCTCTTCGGCGGGCGAGTGCCCGTAAATGGTGCACCCAGCGAGGCTTCAAGGCCCCCATGCCCCTCGCGGACAGCGCGGGCGCGGGGCCCGCGGAGTCTAGCGCAGGCTGCGCAGTGCTCAGCAGGTTCCCAGCGGATCCTTTGCAGCGGGCTCAAGGAGCTTTGTCGGATTCCAGAGTTTCGGCCATGTTTGTCAACATCGCCCCCCCCCCCGCCCCATCCCTGTTGCTGTGGCCTCCGTGCGCTTGCGCACCAGCGTCGGGCTCGCTGGAGCCAACGTGGATCTACCTGCCAGTCTTCTCCATGCAGTGGGCTCTCTGCCCTTCCCGTGGATCGTCGGAGCTGATTGGAATCTAGTCCCAGAGGACATGCAGATGTGGTCGGCCAAGGCTAAGGCTGATGTGGTCTACTCAGGTGAACCCACCTTCGGAGCGCGGGAACTGGATTACTTTGTATGCAGCCGGGTCCTCACGCCGTTCGTCAGCGTCATCGAGGGCATCGCTGGAGCGCCAGCGCGCTCTCACCTCCTTGTGGGCTTGCTGCTCAAAGGTCTCTCAGTGGAGGCCAAGATCCCCGAAGGCCTCCTGCCGAGAAATTCCCGATTAACACGCCAGCTCTCGTTTGGCCAGCGCCCACTGAACGCGCGTTCAGCAGCTCGACGTGGAGACTCGGAGATGAACTGCCTTCGGATCATCAAGCGGCCTTTCAACTCTGGTTCAGACATGTCGAGGAGTACCTTTTGGACTTTCATGGCGTATCCACTCGGTGCTCCGCGGCCTACTCGGGACGAGCTGAAGGTCTTCGAGCGCAGCATGTGGCAGCAGATTGCGCCTGGCAGGGTGACCTCAGGCAGGTCTCTTCGGCTGTAGGAAGTGGGCCTCCTTCTACTCGGCGTGCATTCGCCTGCGCGCTATCAGCTCGGAGCCCAGAGCGAAAGGCTCCAAATCTCTGGCTGCCCATCGCAGGCAGGCCCCCGCAGTTCAGCGCGCTGCTCTGCCAGACTGGCCGCAGGA